ACTTCAGCACTGCGTTCTTGCAGGGTAGCCTGCACGAGGAGATCTGGCTTCGCCGTCCACCTGGCTTCACTGGGACTTTCCCTCCTGGCACCCAGTGGAGCCTCCAACGGCCAGTCTACGGTCTCCGCCAGGCACCGCGTGAGTGGCACGACACACTGAGGACTACGCTTGCGGCTCTTGGGTTTGCTCTTTCTACTGCTGACCCGTCGCTGTTTCTTCGCACCGACACTTCCCTGCCGCCGTTCTACATCCTCGTGTACATCGACGACTTGGTCTTTGCCACAGCGGACACTGCTGGACTCGCCTACGTGAAGTCCGAGCTGCTGAAGAGACACACGTGCACAGACCTGGGTGAACTGCGCAGCTACCTTGGCTTGCAGATCACTCGGGACAGAGCACGCCGCACCATTACCTTGACTCAGTCACACATGGTGCAGCAGGTCCTTCAGCGCTTCGGCTTCACGTACTCCTCGCCTCAGGCCACTCCTCTGCCTACTCGCCACTCACTCTCAGCTCTGCCTTCGGATGAGTCCGTAGAGTCGAGTGGTCCGTATGCAGAGCTTGTTGGCTACCTCATGTACCTGATGACCTGCACACGACCTGACCTTGCATACCCTCTGAGCATTCTTGCACGCTATGTTGCTCCTGGGAGACACAGACCAGAGCACATGGCTGCAGCGAAGAGGGTATTGCGCTACCTGTGCAGTACGTCGGGCATGGGGCTAGTGCTTGGAGGGCGGAGTCCAGTGGTCCTTACCGGCCACGCGGACGCTTCTTGGGCTGACGACCAGGCTACGCAGCGGTCGTCACAGGGTTACACCTTCAGCCTTGGTTCCGGCTCTGTCTCGTGGCGGTCTACTCGCTCGTCTTTGGTTCTCGGCTCCAGTTGTGAGGCCGAGATCTACGCCGGGGTCATGGCTGCACAGGAGCTTCGCTGGCTCACCTACCTGCTGACTGACCTTGGAGAGCCGCCTCGTTCTCCTCCAGTGCTGTACGTAGACAACAAGGCCATGCTGGCCTTGTGTCGAGAGCAGCGCTTGGAGCACAGAACGAAGCACATTGCTCTCCGCTACTTCCTTGCTCGTGAGCTGCAGCAGCGTGGTCAGTTGCGACTTGCGTACGTGGCCTCTGAGGCCAACACTGCTGATGTGTTCACCAAGGCACTCGCGCCTTGTGACCATCAGCGCTTTTGTACCCAGCTGGGTCTTGTGCCTGTCTTGCCTCACTTGCTCTCCTCTTGACTTCACTTGTACTGTGACATATATATATACCTGCTCTTGCTTGTCTAGTTTTGTATATATGTCTGTACTCCTGCATGTGAACTGGCCTCTGGCCCTACTCTTGTGCTCGGACTGTGTGGTGACTTTGTGATCCACCCTGAGCTTGCTTTGCTTTGCTTGACTGGTCTTGTGACCCCTTGTTCTCCCCCACTTTGCCTATGGGGGTGTGTCAGATTTATATGACATAGTTGCTGTAGGCTATAGTGGGGTAGCACATATGGGGTACAGGGTTTCTAGGGTTGTATTTGTACCCAATCTTTCCTTAGTCATTTCATTCCTGTTTTCCTATTCTCACAATTGTCGCGCTGGAACGGCGCCGGGGGGATGAGTTCTCACGGCATGCAGTAACCGTGGAGTATCACTGAGAGTATGAAGCTGCTGTCGCACCATGAGCTCCACCATGGGAATGACAAGCGTAGCCGACCGCACATCCTTGTGACGAGCTTATCTGTGATTGCGTATTCGTAGGGGATGTGTCGCTCGCCCATCCCGCCATCCGGTGGATCTGTGCAACGGGTCGCAAAAGGGGCACAGGCTGTGAAGACGTTTTTTTTTTTTTTTTTTTTTTTTTTTTTTTTTTTTTTTTTTTTTTTTTTTTTTTTTTTTTTTTTTTTTTTTTTTTTTTTGTTTTGCATCAGCTCTAGTTGCTATTAATACGAGTGCATGTACTAGCGAACAACGGGGCAGTGTATGGCCGAACCCTCACGAGGTGGGCCATTGACCCACCCTTCCGCTTCTCTTTCATATTGATATGTTCGCCTCTCTCTCCCTTGTTGTTGTTGTTGTTGTTTTTTTTTTTTTTTTTTGTCTGTCAACGCCTAATATACACGACCTTAGGCTTGCCGTATGTGCACCCGAGGGCTCTCGATGTTCGACGAGCTCGGGGTGGGCTGCCGGATTGTGCTTTGCACATTTTCTTTGATAACGTGCCTTGTCTCGTGGGCTCTTTGCCCATCGTGTCAATTGCGCGTAGTAATATGCTTCGTATGCCCTCCTTGTGCGCTTGTCGCGCAAGTGGCCCTCTCGTGTCCCGTTAAAGTGGGCCGGTGCTGGCCAAATAGTGTGGCCTCCTTAAGAGTCAACATCTTCATCATCTCACACTTCTCCTTGTCTTTCTTTCTTTCTCCTCTTCTCCCTTTTAGGTACCTCAACCGCTTAGGCCTCACTCTCCAAGGGCTGCTTGCTTCAATAATCCTGGTTCCAATATTTGAAATATCATTCATTAAGCCACACATCAACGATTGTCCACATTACTTGCCACTCCGGCCCATATTTCATGCTTTAACATGCATACAACTCATCATTGCCACCCATGGCTAAGTCCTAGGACTCCTAGTCCTACTCCCTTCCCTAGGGGTCGGCCGGCGGCCATTCTACTCACCCCGCAGGGTCTGGCCATTGGCCTAAGCACACCATGTTGCCCATGCAACGTGCTCTCGGCGCCCCAAGTGGTTTCCCTCTCATAGGGTCACACCACCGGCGCGGGTCCTTGGGCCCCTTGCCCATTATCGGGGCACATATTTGCCATGTGGCCGGGCTGTCCGCACTTGAAGCAGGTTCCACGAAAGCTCCTGATGTTGTTGTCCATTGGTGGACCACGCTTGTTGCCAAATGCACCGGTTCCTCGCCCTCCACCTCGTGCGGCGCGGCCGGGGTTGCCTTGGGCGCGTTCCATGGCCGCAACGTCCGCCATGGCTTGCTTGAATGGGCGCGAGGTGAACAAGCTCTTCTCTTCATACATCTTGAACCGGTTAGCGACGCGGAAATTCGTGTAATCGGCGACGTGGAGAAGCTTGAAACGATTATTGACGAGCGAGAGCGCCTCCTCGAGGAGTTCGATGGCGCTTGCTGGTTCGTTGAGCCGCACTTTCTGTTCCGCATGCATCAGGTAGGCGCGCAGGTCCTCAAGGAGCTCGGCTTGTTCACGAACAACAGCGTTCTTGAAGGAAGATGCGGTGAGGTTAGAGTTGGAGGTAGGGAGGGGGAGGAGGTGCTCGGTGGTTGAAAAAAATGCATTATCGGCAGGTGCCTCACCAGCTTCGTCGTCGGAAGTGTCGCTGTCGGCAGGATTTTCGGGGGCCGGGGTAGCTTTGGCGGTGGTGCCCTCGGCGCCTGCGATTTTTGCCGTGCGAGCGCGTTTCACCGTCTCCCTTTTTTCCTTCGCGCTTTTAGCAGAAATTGACGTTTCGTTTGGTGTAGCGTTGGTTTCCGTAACGACGGAAGCTTGCTGCTGTAACAGGGACAACAGCTGCTGCAGTTGGGCCGATGTGAAGACAGGCGAGGCCACAGGCGCGTCAGGGGCCTGGGTCGCGTCAGGGGCCTGAGGCGCGTCAGGACCCACGTGCGCCTGAGGCCTCGCGTCGGGCGCGTGTGCCTGCCTGCGGCGCTGACGCTGACGGGGGGTGCCGGTCGCGCTGGCCAGCGTTGACTTGGCGCCCTCGTTGACTGCCGGCGCCTCACGCCCCTCAGGAGCCACTTGCGCTCGAGGCACACCAGGGGCGCGTGCCCCAGCGACGTCGGACAGCAGAATGTCGACGGCGGTAGGGGTCGACTCCTCGTCGTCTGCCCGACGCTTGTTCCGGCGTTCGCGCGCGGGTTCGCGGGTAATATTTCCGTCGTCGGGACGAATTGAAGCGTTGGCGTTGTCACCGTTCTCGCCGTTAAGTGCCATAGTAGCCGCGTTATGAGCGAAAATGTCAGAAAGGAGTGTGGACAGAGACTGGAAACGAGGTAGTGACTTCAATTTCGCCAGCTTGGAATTGGGAACTCGGAAACTAGGCTAAGGGTACATTCCGCTGTCGACACATGTCCCAATCGATGTGTCCCAATCGTTTCTACCGCACTGCATCGTATTACACCAATTTGCACCCTAGTTTCGAAATTTTCGCGTCTCTGGTTTAGTTCGGTTCGGAGCGGTACACTCGATTGGGACACGTCGATTGGGACATGTGTCCACAGCGGAATGCACCCTAAGCCGTTTGAAAATGAAAGACGTGGGTGGAGGGAAATGACCTCCAGCCCACGTTTTGAACTCCAAAACGGGCGTTTAGCGCGGTTCGCCGATGACCATTGCTACATTACAAGCCGCTTCGCTTTCAAAATACAAAATTTTGAAAAGTGTTACAACTTTTAAAAATATTCATAACACTAAAATATGCCATGTGTAAAGACCCAGGTGTTATGTATATTTTCCCTATGAGAAACCCCACATTTTTCCCCTGTATTTTTAGCTATACACTAGGGTGTTATGTTATGTCCGGGTCTGTTCATCACTACACGTGCAACAAGCACATCTCGCAGATATTTTGAAACGTCCAGTGGAACGGGGAAAGGCGAACAAGGGAGGAAGGGGTGGTATGTACAAATGAGTAGTGCCTTGCCCATGCTGTCTCCTGCCAGGCATGTGACATGTGACATGTGTCACCTCACAGCTGCCCGCGTGTCAGTGCCTGTCTGCCCTGCACATCTATCCGCCGCCTCTTTACCATCAGCTCTGCCTTTCTTGCCAAGTCTGTCTTCTTCTCCCTGCTGCTGCTCTTACTGCTGCTCCTGCTGCCGCCGCTGCTCCTATGCGGCACGAGAGCTTGCTGCTTGCCCTCTAGTTTATGCCGCTTATGTGACGAGCTACCAGCAGCAGCAGGGGTGGCGGCAGAAGGAGCAGCAGGGGGGGTGAAGATGGAAGCATTGTGAATGGCAGCTCTCTTCTCCGCGCGGTTGTGGTCAAAGCGGTGTGCAAAGGGCGCTGCTGCACTGTCCGCCTGCGAGGGCGGCAGCAGCCGGATCGCCAGCCCCCTGCTGCGTGGTGACATGGAGCGTGAGAGCAAGTTGTGATGGCTCATGAGAGTCAATACACGATAGGGAACTGTAGAGGTGTGGGAAACGCCAGATGGCACGCGCAACAATGCTTGACGTACATCCATCCAACCAGATTGAAATTTGACTTCACCAACAAACCCCACTTCCCTGCCCCAAAAATCCCCCCCTCAATCCTTCCCCTACCCCTCCCATCCCATCCCCACCCCACCCACCCCACTCCACCCCACCCCACCCCACCCCACCCCACCCCACCCCACACGAACCCACTCCACCCCACCCCACCCCACCCCTAGCTGCATACCCTGAGCTGGGAGCGCAGCACACGGTTGAGGCAGAAGGGGTCGGCATGCTTGGTGTCCGCAGCAGCCTTCACGGCCGCTAGCGTGGGTGCTGCTGCTGCTGCCCTCTTGTGGTCGTGACCCCCATGCTCCAATCGCACCAGCGGATCCAACAGCTGCTCTCGCTCTGCCACGGCCAGGCAACGAGCGGGAGCGAGAGAGAGGGGGAGAAGGAGAGGGAGATACGGGGAGAGAGCGCGATAGGGGGAGAGAGGGGGGGATGTGGAGATAAAGGGGAAGATAGGAAGAGGGGGAGAGAGAGGAAGAACAATGGAAAGAGAGATGGAGAAAAGGAGAGAGGGCGAGAGGGAGGGAGAGAGGGAGAGGGAGTGAGAGAGACGGAACGAGAGGAAGGAGCGAGGGAGAGAGAGCGAGTGAGGGATGGGAGAAGGAGGGAGAGGGAGGGACAGAGAGGGAGAGGGAGGTACAGGGAGGCGGAGAGAGGGAGAGTGAGGGATGCGGGCAGTATGGGAATGCTGAGGTTGAAAGGGCAGACAGGTCAACAGACAACGTAAGGAAAAAAAAGGTGGGACCCGGTATAAACGGATGGAGGCTACGTGGAATGAAGTGGTGAGGCATGAATGGGAAGTGAGCAGTGGGTAAGTGCCCCCTCTCAACCCCCCAACCCTCTACCACCCACCAGCCCCCCACCGCAACCCCCGCCTCCACCCCCCACCCCACACCATCCCCACCGCACCCCACTCCCTCACCCCACCCCACTCCACGCACCCTCTTTGGAGCCGGCACGGTGCCGGCATCCTCTGCATCGTACTCCACCGCCTTGTGCTCCGCTCCACTCACCTGCACCCCCGCTCACACACGTCAGTGCGCATGGGCAGGGCGGAGGGAAGAGGGGAGGAAGGCGGGGTCAGGGTGGGGGGGGGTGTTAGAAGGAGAAGGTTGGGAAGCGCAAGAGAGTGTGTGTGTTAGCACGCGTGTAAGGGCGAGACATAGAGAAGGAGAAAGGAGAGACAGAAAAACGGGAGTGGGAAGGAGGGGTCAGCAGAAGGTGGAGCACGGGGGTTGGATGGATGGAGAGAAACCACAAGGGATACCATTAAGCAGGCAAGTAAGGAGCACACGAGGCAAGACGGGAGTGGGACGGAAGGGTTGGATTGAATATAACGAACCACAAGAAAAGCCATCCAGGAGGTAGAGTCAGCACGGAGCACAGGAGATAGATAGGGGGCAGCAGGAGGGCAGAGGGCAGAGGGCACTGACGACTCGGTAGTCGCAGTTCTTGGGGTCGGTGTGGATCTCTATCTCGTGCTGGCAGCACGCTGAGCGCATCTTGAAACTCCATATCTGCACCACACAGGGCGGCACGGGCAGGCAAGGCAACGCACGGCAGGGCGAGGTGGGAAGCTGATGGGCAGGCCGCAGTGGGATGGGAACGAACATGGTCTGGCAGGCAGGGCGCGCAACGAAGCTGGTACAGCGTGCAAGCAAGAAAAAGGCCATGGGGGAGCATGAGTGTTGGGTTGGGAGCGAGCGGGAGGAGTGCGGGAGGAAAGGAAGAGCAGGGCACCTTGGTGGAGAGGTAGTTGGCGATGTGCTTCTTCTCGGCGTTGAAGCGCACGCCCTTGGCGATCATGGCCTTGCACCCGCCACACCACACGTGGAACGGCATCTCAAACCTGCCCGCCTCGCCCGCATGTGGTGGTGGCGCCACGGGTGGGGAGTCAGCGCGAGATGATGGAAAAGAACAAAAGACAGAGTAATAAACAAACAAACAAACAAACAAACAAACAAACAAACAAACAAACAAACATGAGAGGATGGCAGGCGGCCATGTGGCCAACGGAATGGGGAGAAAGTGAGAGCAGCGAGCACTGAGCAGGGGACAAGTAATAAGGGGGTTGTTGGAGGGATTGAAGAAGAGAACCGAAAAAACGAGATGGCGGCACACAAGGGAGATGTTGGAGGCGGGGGGAGAAGGGGGGGGAGGGGAGGGGTGAAGTGAGGTTGGATGGGATGGGTTGAGTTGCGGGTGTGGGGTGCACCTGATGACGAGAATGCCATCGCCCAGCTTCTTGGCTCGTTCTCTCAGCGGGTGCTGTCCCTGGAACTTGTTCAGCGAGCCCTGCCACACCACCGCGCCATGCCACGCCATGCCATGCCACATCACGCCACGTCATGCCGCAGCATGCCAACATGCGCGGGGGGAAGCACAAGGAGAGACAGTGACGGCGACGGTTGCCCGTGCGCGCATGGCGGAGCCGATCGTTACACCGCCTCCTTCCGCGCGCGCGCGCAAGGGAGGGGACGGGGAACAGGGAGGACGAGAGGCGCGACGACTGGAATGGTGTGGAGGAAGGAACGGGTGGGGAAAGAAGGGGGAACACACGGAAAGTGTAGAGATCGGAGATCGATGGAGAGGACGAAGCAGAAGGTTCGGGAAGCGTGAGTGCATGGTAAGACGCCGAGAATAATGTAGAAGACACGGCGGTGGAACGTGAAAAGGCTCTCAAGAGAAGGAACGCGAGCAATCGCGGGAGCAGCGGCGGGAGCACGGCGCGCGTACCTGCTCCGGCGTCCATTCCGGCGGGTAGTAGAAGTTGTCGGCTCGCGCGGCTGCTAGCGTCGACTGCAGCAGCGAGCAGGGAGGGCGGAAAAGAAAAAGGTGAACGGGTTAACGTTGAATAATCCCTGTGGAAACCCGCGCACTTTCTAAAAACGAGTCGAGTTGAACCGCGAGGCGAGAGCGTACCATGATGAATGTTGAAAGTGACGACTAATTGACTGCACGCAGGAAACCCTCAAGTAAACAAACAAGAATGACAGGGAAACCCTAAAATATGTTGCTGCGACGGAGCTTCCGTCCGTATTTCTTAGGGAAATTTTTTGGGCTGTCACAAAAAAGCCCGTTTTATTGCGTTTGGTCAAATGGGTATCACTCTTACTAGTGCAATTGAGTGAACGAGCGAGAATTGCACTTTCGAAGCAAGAGTACAATGAGCGAAGGCAGCGAGCGGGGAGGGCGGAAGGAAAAAAATAAGATGAACGGGTTAACGTTGAATAACCACTGTGGAAGCCCGCGTACTTTCTAAAAACGAGTCGAGTTGAACCGCGAGGCGAGAGCATTGTCAGAACATTATAGCTTACTTATTTGTGTAGGCTATAGTGGGGTATCCCATAGGGGGTACAACCCAATTAGGGTTTCCTATTTGTACTCACTTCGTTCATAGTCATCCCATCCTCGTTCAAATCTTCTCATGGTATCGAGCAGGTTCCCCTGTGGGAACTGCGCCTAGGGCCCACCACTTCGAGTTTTTTTTTTACTGCCCGAAGCGCACTCATCCCGAGTCGCGCTTCGGGCTATTCACTTACCGAGCCGCCCTAGCGGCCTTCTCTCCCCTAGCGGCCCTGCCGCCCTACGCTTCGCGGCCCCGCCGCCCTGCACTTCGCGGCCCTGCCGCCCTACACTTCGCGGCCCCGCCGCCCTGCTTCGACGGCCCCGCCGCCCTGCTTCGACGGCCCCGCCGCCCAGCTTCGACGGCCCCGCCGCCCTGCTTCGACGGCCCCGCCGCCCTGCTTCGACGGCCCTGCCGCCGTGCTTCGACGGCCCCGCCGCCCTGCATCGACGGCCCCGCCGCCCTGCTTCGACGGCCCCGCCGCCCTGCTTCGACGGCCCCGCCGCCCTGCACCTCGCGGCCCCGCCGCCCTTCCTTCAGCGGCCCCGCCGCCCTGCACTTCGCGGCCTCGCCGCTTCTCCTTAGCGGCCTCGCTGCCCTTCCTTTGCGGCCCCGCCGCCCTGCACTTCGCAGCCCCGCCGCCCTCTGCCAAGCGGCCCCGCCGCTCTCCTCCTCTACCGCGCCACCAGAGCCGTTGCCCACTGCACCACCCTGCAGCGTGCACCCGCGCAGCGGCCCGCCGCGCCACCGAGTACCGGAGGAGCCGAGCCGCCTAGCCGCGGTGCAGCCGAGCCGCCCAGCAGCCGGGCCACCCAGCAGCCGAGCCACCGAGCCGCCGAGCCGCCGAGCCGCCGAGCCGCCCTGCCGCCCAGCCGCCGAGCCGCCGAGCAGCCCAGCAGCCGAGCCGCCCCGCAGCCGAGCCGCTCTACTGCCGAGTCGCCCGACCTGCCTTGTCTGGTGAGCACAGCCCCACTGCTACTGCGTGCCCGTCCCCCCCCACCACTGCTTGCACTGCTAGTCTGTCGTCATGGCCACCCCTAGTGTCCTCGCTTTTGACGCTGAGGGTCGAGCCATAGACTTTGAGGTCTGGGTCGACGACCTGCAGCTGTTTTTACAGTGCGATAGGGCGGACGGTCTGTCTCTCTTTGACCTCACCTCTGGCACCGTCCCTGCCCCTGCTGCTGATGCTGACGCCACTGTTCGCTCACAGTGGGCCACGCGCGATGCTGCTGCACGTCTTGCTGTGCGTCGCCACCTGCCTACCGCTGAGTGCGCGCACTTTAGCCAGTACAAGAGTGCCCAGACCTTGTACGACGCTGTAGTTGCGCGCTACTCCTCCCCTGCCACTGCTGCACTGAGCCGCCTCATGCTCCCCTTCCTCTTCCCTGACCTTGCCGCCTTTCCCACTGTCGCTGATCTCATCACGCACCTCCGCACTAGTGACACTCGCTACCGCGCTGCGCTTCCTGCTGACTTCTGCGCCAAGAACCCCCCCCCCCCCCCCATGTACATCACTCTCTACTTCTTAGTCACTCGCCTCCCTGACTCCCTTCGTGTAGTCCGGGACCACTTCCTCGCGGTCTGTCCCACCACCCTCACAGTCGACAGCCTCGAGAAGGCCCTCCTTGCAGCAGAGAAGAGCATAGTCGCTGTAGGAGCCTCTCGAGGTGACCCCCGCGCCCCCATCTTTGAGGGGTGTTCTGCTTCCCCTCTCCTGCCCTCTGTCGCCTCTGCCGTTGCGGCCGACCTCGTTGGTCTTGAGTCGGTCGGTGCGGCGTCTGCCCCTAGCGGGAGACGCCGCTCTGGCAAGGGCAAGGGGGGCAAGGGAGCGGGTGGGGCCAGTGGGGGCGGTGGAGGTGGAGGTGGAGGCGGCGAAGGGAGTGGGGGTGGCGGTGGAGGTGGTGCGAGGGTGGGGGTGCTAGTGGCGGCAGTGGAGGCGGGGGTGGCGGCGGCAGTGGCGGTGGTAGCGGAGGTGGCGGAGGTGGCGGCGGTGGAGGCGGAGGCGGGGGCGGTGGAGGCGGAGGCGGGGGTGGCGGAGGTGGAGGTGGTCGGAGTGGAGCTTCGCAGCGGAGCAGCACTGGGGGCGGTCAGCGCCAGCAGCAGCAGCAGCAGCAGCAGCGTTCTCGCGACATCCCCACCCCTCAGCAGCTGCGTGAGTGGTACACGCAGCGTCAGCGCGGTGGGGGTTTTGGTCCCTGCACCTACGTTCTCCGCACTGGCGACCGCGCTGGAGAGCAGTGTGGGGGTACCCACACCGCCCAGCGCTGCTTTGGCCGCCTGACGGACGCTTGGCGCCAGCAGTTCCCGGAGGCCGCGGAGATCCCCCGCTGGGGAGAGTTGTCTAGGGCTGGTGTAGCTATCTTTGATCTTGATTTTGATGCTATCCTTGCTGCCATGTATGCTGTGACCATTAGTGATGAGGGTGACTGTTACCAGTGTTTCCCGCCCGACCCGGGCATTGGTACTGCTGCTCTAGGTGCCGGTGAGGCTTCTGCTCTAGGTGCCAGTGCGTCTGTGCTCTCAGGTGCTGGTGAGGCTGCTCTCTCAAGTACTAGTGCGTCTGCGCTCTCAGGTACTGCGTCGGCTTCGGCCTCCCACACCTTCACCCTTGACTCTGGAGCGTCTCGCTCTTTCTTTCGGGACCACACCACACTCACGCCGCTTAGTCGGCCTGTTGCGGTTTCCCTGGCTGACCCCTCTGGGGGTCCTGTCCTGTCTCGCTTCTCCACAGTCCTCCCGTGTCCGGCGGCTCCCTCTGGCACCCTGTCTGGTCTCTACCTCCCCTCGTTCTCTACAAACTTGGTGAGTGGTGCTGACCTACAGGATGCGGGAGTCCACCAGTTCACCCCTGCTCGTCAGCGAGTGACGCACTGCACAGAGGCTAGCACGGGTCGTCACCTGGCTACGTTTACACGTCAGCCAGGGTCGAGCCTGTACACACTGACCACTGCTTCTCCTCCAGATCTTGAGTCTGGTAGGGTCCCTTCGTCAGGTCAGGTATTTGCTGCAGCGTCCAGGTCTGGCCCTGAGTCTGCCCCCTGTTCGTGTGGTCGCCTGTCTCACGAGACTCTCCTCTGGCACCACCGCCTTGGTCACCCCTCTCTGCTTCGCCTCAAAGGCATGGCCTCCCGTCTTCTTGTGTCTGGTCTTCCCCGGTCCCTCCCTCCCCTTCCTGAGGGCCCTGGCCCTACCTGTGTCCCCTGTGTCGAGGGGCGCCAGCGTGCTGCCCCTCACTCCTCCCAGTTTCCTCCGACAGAGGCTCCGTTGCAGACGCTTCACATGGACGTGTGGGGCCCTGCCCGCGTCCGTGGACTCGGTCACGAGCGCTACTTCCTGTTGGTGGTTGACGACTACTCGCATTACACCACAGTCTTCCCCTTGCGCAGCAAGGGTGATGTCACTGAGGTGCTGATCGACTGGATCCGCGCAGCTCGTCTCCAGCTCAGGCAGAGCTTTGGCTCGGACTTTCCTGTGTTGCGTCTGCACTCGGACAGAGGCGGAGAGTTCTCCTCTGGCCTTCTGCGTGCCTTCTGTCGTGCGCGAGGCATCCGCCAGACCTTCACGCTTCCGGACTCACCGCAGCAAAATGGGATTGCAGAGCGCCGCATTGGCATGGTCATGGACGTCGCTCGTACGTCTATGATGCATGCGGCTGCCCCCCATTTTCTGTGGCCGTTTGCGGTGAGGTACGCGGCGCAACAGATCAACCTCCACCCCAGGGTCTCCAGGCTGGAGACCTCCCCAGCCCTGCTGTGGACGGGGAAGGTTGGCGATGCGTCGGCGTTCCGGGTCTGGGGATCTCGGGCGTTTGTCTGCGACTTGTCTACGGACAAGCTATCCCCTCGCGCTGCTCCCTGCGTCTTCCTGGGGTTCCCCCCCGACGCCCCTGGGTGGCAGTTCTACCACCCCACCTCTCGACGTGTTCTGTCCTCCCGGGACGTCACGTTCGACGAGTCGGTACCCTACTACCGCCTCTTCCCCTACCGCACTCCGTCCCTTCCCCCGCCCCCGCTCTTCCTGGTACCAGGTCCCCCCCCGGTACACCCCCTCCCCCCTCAGGGTCCTGCCCCTTCAGGTGTGTCCCAGGTAGACGCGGTCGAGCCTGTTGAGGCCACTGGTGACTCTGGTGCTGCTGCGGGTGCTGAGCATGGGGGTGCTGGGACTGGGGGTGCTGAGCCTGGGGGTACTGAGTCTGGGGGTGCTGAGCCTGGGGGTGCTGAGCCTGGGGGTACTGAGCCTGGGGGTACTGAGTCTGGGGGTGCTAAGCCTGGGGGTGTTGAGCGTGGGGGTGCTGCGACTGAGGGTGCTCCGCCTGGAGGTGCTTCGTCTTGCCGAGAGCAACTCTCCCCACAGGAGCTGCATGAGTGGTTTGCCCGGCGCTGGAGGCGTGCTGCGGGTGCTGGAGGTTCTTCGGCTGCAGAGGGTGCTGCTGCCACGGGTCCCGGAGGTGCTA